GTAACCTTTTCTGAATATTGGGCCGAAACTGTCACTTGCTGAAAGACAGGGGCTTGAATGGTAATTATGCATCAATATACCCCTTTATTTGCAACAAGATTTGGAATTGGTCCAAAACTGCCAAGGCATGAAACGCATAGGGACCAAAGAAGTCAAATCACTAAAGTTTCAGGGACCATAAATGTAACATGGTATCTTCTTCCCCAAGACGTTGAACTAAAGAAATTATACACCTGAACCGAACCCAACCGAAGGTTCATTTCCTTTCGTTTCCATTTTTGTTTCAAGCTCCTTCAGGCAAATCATCCTTTCGGTCCAAGCTCTTTCGTTCCAAGAGCTTACATACACAAAATCGTTCCATGTTCTTTTCGAGCACGAGACTTTATACCGATCCTTGAGTTCTGAACACCAAGAACCATACCCAAAGCGAACCAATTTCAAAGAAGAACACATTCACATGTTCACTTCCGAGTACAAGCAACCGAAACCAAGTTCGGTCTAGGTTCATTGAACCGAAACCATGTTCGGTCCGAGCACAGGTTCGCTTTTGGTTCATCCCCCTTTCATCCCATTACTTTTGTTCCAAGTGCTAACACATGAACATAGATTCGTTCCAAGCACATAAGACGTTTGTGAAAAGTGAATAGAGATAACAGGGTCGTTTTTCGTTTCTAGCACAAACACGCGAACACCAAATCATTCCAGGTCTGTTCGTGGTTAACCTCCGATAGTCAATTTTGAATTTTTTCCTTGACTAGTGTTCTTCCAATTGAGTCCCGATTTCTTTCGTTCTCAGTGAGTTCGCTTTGCAATACCAATTTTGAACTTGAGAATTGACCATACAAAACAATTTTTCCTTAGATCATTACAGTCAAGATTTAATCCCAATTGCGAACTTTATCATCACACCTCATTCCTTCGTTCCAATTGTTCTATGTATCGATTGAAATACCCGTTTCACAATTGTTTAACAAAGCAACCTGTGAGTTAAATTAACCAACCGAACCCAATACATCACAAACACCAAATCGATTTAAATATCAAACATCACTTCAATTGAATTTATCACCATCTTCATTTGTTCTTGACAGTTTTTCATCTGTTCTTTAAACTCAAAAACATCGGATGGCAATTCTGGACCCCAAAATCACAATCGATCTTAACAATAACAAGAGATGATTCACGTTTAATAACATCCAGAAAAATCATTATCAATTAGAAAAAAAAAATCCATGTTAAGACACGGTGGATTGAATCAGATCTAAAATGTCGAATGTGAACAATTCATGATCCGATAGATACATGAAACCAGAATTAAGAACAAATCAATTGGTCAATCGAACAAGATTCGTGAACATGTTATCAAGCAGAAGAATCGCTTGATTTAAATAAAGGATTTTGAGATGTCTTGACTTGCGTGATTCAGAACTAACGATTTCAAATAACAATATATGGGCTTAAATATATGAACAGTACATCGACAATAGTGGTCTCATGAATCAATATAGGATCGGTTGAATGAATAAGAATAAAAAATTAGGCTAGATGATTTGGTTTAGGGTACGAATTCAGATTAGATCCAAAGACAAATGAAAAATAACAGGAGAATTGGATCGAAATTATACCCAAATGAACAGTAGATGAACAAATAAATCCCCATGAACAGTAAGTTGAACAGAAATCTTGATTCCAAACAGCCAAAACACCAAAAATCTTCAATAACTTGTGTAGAAAATCATCAAATCAAGAACCGATACTTCAAAAATCAATAGATCTTCAAAGACCCGCTCTGATACCACTTGTTGGGACTAAAACCCTAATTGAGATTTGATGAACAAGATGCGGAAAATAAGAACAAACACAAATATGAAGATTATGTCGAATGATCACTCGATTTATTCAAATATGAGGAATAAATTACACTTTCAGCATAGACTAAAAAATCTAACACTACATAAGAAACCTCACGCGGCAGCTACATTTTGCCTCACTCTTAACCATAATTATGAATAATACATGACTATTTATAGGGAAAAGACAAATCTTGGGCTTTTAACCTACACTTCATCAAGGGGTCCATTGTTATCATCCATGGAGTGCTTTGAAACCCTACAACATTCACATACATACTCATTGGCTTTGCAAACATAAAACGTACACGAAAACATTATACGCAACGTAATACAATATTCGTGTAAACTCAGTTAAGGATCTAGTGAGACATGTCGGTTGACACCTCTTGAGTGTACAATTGTAACCTGTAGTTATAACCATAGTCTCCTGGAGGGAGAGCGAAAGTTTGTGTATAGATCTATACGGGGTGTCACCCCACACCTAATTTGTTCACTACAGTTAGACTAGGTCAGTCTAGGGTGACAAACCTTACCTTAAACAAGTCGGTGCCTAAAAACGTCATGACAGACGAATTGGTCATTATCAAGTATGGTTATAATGACTCATATAGAGATTAACTCCATCATAAATTTACGAAATACATATAAAATCTTGTCGATACGAAAATGTACGTACATTGATATTCGAACTTAGGATTTTGAGACCACGACACTTTTATAATCAGAAAATATCGGATTTTCTGGGGAAACATACAGTTAAACAATACCTTCTACTTACAACAGAAAATACATGATTTTTCCAGATTACATTTTTATATACATTCCAAAAACAGAAAACACACATGCATTAATACTTGATTTTCATACATCACTTTCAAATCATTTTATAGAAAATATCGGATTTTCTGGTATTTTACGAACAATACAAAACTTTTCATTCAAACATGCTTATGAACTCACTAACATGATATATGTTGACATTTTCAAAATAACTTGTATTCTCAGGGAATTGTTAAGCGGAAAGGTCAATAAGAACATGTGGAATTTGTCATATTTTGTTACCATCATACATTGAATATTTTGGCATGTAATTTATGATACTATACTTGATGTAAATAACGATGGTTTTATTTTGATATGTATGATGATGGTGTTGTCTTGTTTCAATTATATACATTATGATGATATTACAAGATGAAGTCACCCAAGCCCCCGGACGTTTCCGCCGTCTGGTTTGAGGGTGTAATAGTAATGTACTTGAATATTTACTAGGGGAATCTTGACTAAGCAGGTGTATTTCATGACTATATTTACATTTTCCAATCAAATGATTTATCGTATCATGTATTTTAGACAAGTTTACAAATGAGTGGAATCACAAGTGCTGTGATTTTTGCGTTTACTTAGCTTTAAGATCGAAGTCATGGGATAGGATACAACATCAATATGTACAATATCATGCAACTTTTGTAGACATATCATTATAATATACCTTGAGGTAAACGTTTATGCTGATAAATATACCTCTAATACACAATCATATCCTTTTGCAGAGAGGTGTTAACAACTAACCACAGTAAGCATAGCATAGACCATGTTTTAACGAACTTACCCCTCCAAAACGCTCTTCATATACGTTATGGTCAAAGAAGGTTGCAGTATTTGATAATTTTGCAACTTTAATTTCATTTAACTTTTTAGGGAAAATGAATTAGGGGTAACTAACTGTTGAGTTTGTTCTCATTTGGTCTATTTCATTTTTTTTATACTCATATACCATCAAACTTGTTGTTTGTGTTCACCATAACCATTTGACCGACTATCACAGGTCAAAAGTCGGTCAAAAGGGTTATGGTGAACACATACAACAAGTTCAATGGTATATTAAGTACAAAAAAAAGGACAGAGATTAAATGAAAACAAACGCAACAGTTAGTTAACCTCAATAGTCATTTTCCCTACATTTTAATGTGATAAAGATGACTCATCTTTTTAGATATTGTTAGTTTTACAGGTTTTTAGGTTATAAGCTTATATTTTAGGTTTATAAAAGAATTAGTGCTTGTTTTAGGTTATTAGCCTAAGCTTATAAGTTTATTTTACTTAAAAATAAGCTAATTTTCATAAGGTAATTCAAAAAACTTTTATACCTTATATGCTAATAAATAAGCTCCATAAACTATTAAGCTGTTAAGCTCCTAAGCCCAAAAAAATAAACACCCTCTTAAGCCTAACAACTTTGTCTATGATTGAAAAGTTGCACCAGAGTTGTAAAGGTTTTACCATCGGAGGTAGCTTCACAGCACCTTCTTCTTCATTCCCCTTCAAATTCAAGTTTCAACCCAATTAAACCCTAAAACTACGCCACAACAAAAATCATCACCATGTCTTCATCTCCATCCGAGAAATCCCAAAACCCACAATCAGATTCCACCGCTGACCACCCTAAAACCCTAGACCCTCAAAACCCAGATCAAGAATCTACAGAGCCGTCTCCAACACTCGAAGGAACTGAAAATCAAGAAGAGGAAGAGGAAGGAGAATGTGGATTTTGCTTGTTCATGAAGGGAGGCGCCTGCAAGGAAGTGTTTATCAACTGGGAAAAATGTATTGAAGAAGGCGAGAAAAACAACGAAGATATAGTCGATAAATGTTTCGAAGCTACCTCGGCGTTAAAGAAATGTATGGAAGCAAATCCAGATTACTACGGCCCAATTTTGCAGGCGGAGAAGGCGGCGGAGCAGGAAGCAATCAAGCAGTTGGACAAGGAAAAAGAGGCCGCCGCCGCCGTAGCCACATCAGATTCAGGGGAGGAGCAACAGAAATCGGCGAGTTCTTAATTTTTGGGGAAAATCGATAGCATAAGGAAAATTTTGAGGTAATTACAACGAAAAACTGAGAATCAATGAAATTTTTTGTTGAATTTTACATTTAAGATACTTCAATTTAGCGTAACCACATGACTGGTTGCTTAATTTTCTAGTTTTAAGTTTTGATTTTCTTTTTACATTGAAGATTCATTGCACAAAATGAATACGCCCGCATTCTTGATTTGCTTCTTGTATCAACTATTGTCTCTTTAACAGAATATGCAGAAAGAATCGAACAAGAAACAATCAACATACAAACAAATCGAATTTACATTTCCATTCATCTTGATCAATTTAACTATCACTATTTGTTGTTGCGTCGCAGAAGCATTCTTGAGGGTTTGCATAAAAATAATCTTCTTCCTTGGGTTTGTTAGCAACAATCCTACGATCACCTGATCGGCCTAATCTTTTCCTGTGTGCCATTTTTACAGCACCAGAGAACTTTATCCATGAGATCGTCCCATTTTGGTGCAAATCTATTAAATTTATAAGCTTTTCTCTATCTAATCTTGTAGTTTTCTTGAATCCAAGGTATCTGCATATAAAATTTTAATGACACGTTTAAGCATTCGGTTTCCTTTTGTTTATTGAATAAAAAGAAAACAAATGAACCTTACCTTCGTTTACTAGCAACCGAAACCATGAAATCTAGAGCAGCCATTTGTGACGAATGGTTTTGGAACTGCTTCAACTCATCCGCATCTAATATCGTATCTTTTTTCACCTAGAAGAATACTTGAAGCTTTAGTTATTTTTAGCAAAACTGTTCTTTTTTTTTTTTTTAGCAACCCCTAAGTCAGAAGACCACACTAACCCATCTAAATATATAAATCGGGTATATAGTGGCCCACTAATGACTGGTGTAAGAATCCAATCTACATTGGAATTAAAACTCTTGCTTTGCTGCTGCTAAGACTTGAACTCATGATCTGTTATTTTGTAACCGTAAAAAAAGAAGGTAATCACTTACAATATGTGGAAATGTGTTGCATAGTGGTGCAAGTCTGTTTTGACAACCGTAAATTTCACCGGATGCAATGTATATTTGTATGTTTTGGTCAAAATCCATTGCTCGTAGGGTCAACGACACCTCCTTAGGAGTAAGAGGACATAAACCTTGTGATCTCCTCTCTTCCGATACTATCTCATTCTTGTCATTTATATTTGCCTATTGCTATTAGAACAAGAGTTTCTACAACTATGTACCTCATACGTTTGAGTTCATCTGCATCCTCATCTATGCAACCATGTGTACAACCCGAGAACGCCAACATGTCCATTTCGTATCTAAGGTGCAACGCAACAAATGGTCCTTTTGCACCAAGAATGTGAAGTAATTTGTCACCAAGAGCCTCGATTTGTGGTGTCAATTTTAATGATTGGAAGTCGACACCTAAGTCGTTGAAGATCAAGAGCAATCAAATTGTTTGATAACCTTGTGTCGGTTCGATTGAAGTGTATCACCTTATGCTTGCTAAAAAGTGGTAGAATTTACATCACAATTAAAAAACAAATTAATAATAATAATAATAATAATAATAATAATAATAACCATGAGAACACACAAAATGGCTCTAAACATGTTGGGATCCCTATTTCTATTATTGATGTTAATAAAACAAAAATTAAAAGAGAACGTGTTCAAGATAGTATTTTTTTTGCTTGACATGTTGATGAGTGGCTGAAAATTGTATTTTTTGTTAAACCTCTTTGACAATCTTTTAATGACATATTTCATTTCTTAGAGAGTCGACAGTGTTGACATAGTGTTCAATGTCGAAAATGTCTTCAAAATCATAGAAAAAAACACTATAACTCAAGGTTGAAAAAGACAATTTGCCCAATTGAAAAACTAAAAATTTAACATAAGTGAAGTTATTTTTTAACCTAGGATCAATCCAGAAGGATGTTTTATCGAGTTATGGGGCAACCAACGTAAGATTTAAAAGATGGGCAACCGTCACCATGTCAAAAATCTGAAATTATTAACTCACAGTAAATAAATTGTTTGTCAAACTACATGTTGAAGTAAATCAAGAATCACGTACTGAGGCTCTCATTTGATTCAATCCTTGGTTACAAGAAACTTTTAAGGAAACCGTTGCTCGTGTAATTCCCTACATAATAAAACAACTGTTCATAAAAGGAACTTTCTTATTAAGATAATAAAATTTGAATACATGATCTAAAGCGCTCCAACAAGTGGCAGATCCTACTGAAAAAATCTTACCACTATTCTGTAATGGTAATATTTTGTGATCCAAGATTTTTTCAACCAAGGGTATGCACAACGGTTACAATTATTTGCAAATGAGCCCTAAAATAACATCTTTTTTTTCACAGGATACCAACATTGATCTATTTTGTTGCAAGATTCATATACCAGAATAAACCTTAATGAACCATACATGTAACTCATTGTTGCATATACTAGTTATTAAAAATTCAATTATAACACAACAAAGAAAAATAACTAATTCAAACAAAGATTAAAGATTTCTAAAGAGGATTAGATTACTCACTTCTAGGAGGCACTGATGGTAGGGATGAAATGGTCTTTTCAACCTGAATTGATAGTGTGTGTAGATTATGTAACCCGATTAACAATTTTAGGTGCCAAAGATCATCAACAGTTTGAATATGGACCAGACAAGTCCAAACCACAATGCTGGAACAAACCCCAATGAATCATACATGTTGATAATATTGCCATATGATTATGATAGAGAGAAATTACAAGGTTCTCAATGAAAATCATAAACACTATAAAGAATAAAGCGGAGAATAAATACTAGGAAGACAAAACCTTAATAGGCTAAAGACTAAAGGGCCCATAAGCATGTGGGCTAATAATATATAGGCTAACATCCCCCCTCAAACTCACAATGTCACAACAATAAACATTGAGAGTTTGTCACACAATAACTGAAACCAAGAAGCCGATAGAGTCATCGTACAAATATATGCAAGCTGCAAGGTTGATGAAACAAACGGAAGCGATATGGTTCCGATTTGTGATTGATGGCGGGTAAAGTGAAAATCAATCTCAATGTGCTTCGTCCGCTCATGGAAAACATAATTCTTTGTAATTTGTATCGCATTTTTGTTATCACAATGCAGGGGAGTAGGTGAAGAAATATGAACTCTCATATCCTCAAACAACCACCATAACCAGATAATCTCACATGTAGTCACAACCATGCACGATATTCAGCCTCCATGGAAGATCTAGAGACAACGTCATGTTTCTTGCTCTTCCATGAAATGAGAGACTCTCCAAGAAATACATAATATCCGGTGGTGGATTTACGATCATCACGATCGCCATTCCAATCAGCATCACTATAGGCACATAACTCAAGAGAATATGTCGAGGGAAACAAGAGGGTCTGAAACTGAGTGGCACGAAGATATCTCAGAATACGGTGTATAACTCCTCAATGAACAGAGGTAGGAACAATAACAAACTGACTGACAACATGAACAACATGAGCAATATCTGGACGAATAATTATGAGATAAACAAAACTTCCCACAACAGTACAATAAAGATTCGAATCGGAAAAAGGAACATCATCAGTAGGAACCCCAATACCCAAGAAATATTGCAGCAAGTCCAAATCCTTCATAGCAAATCAATGAGCTAGATCATGCTTTAAAGACTCAATACCACCATGATCATCACTGGTAATAATCATGCCACCCACATATAAGGACAAAAGAATCTGTACTGCACTTGAGCATCTAACAAACAAATCCGAATCATGATTACTCTGGACAAATCCAAGAGAGGTAATTATTGTGGAGAATTTCTCAAACTAAGCATAATGTGCTTGCTTGAGACCATACAAAGCTTTGTGAAGCTGACAAAGCTCAACCGGATGGTGCTGAGTTCCTGGAGGAGGCGACATATAAACCTCTTCATGGAGGTCAACATTCAAAAATGCATTCTTGACATCCATTTGAAAGATCTTCCATTGCCAAACGGATGCAACTACAATCATAGTACGGATTGTCGTCATCTTTGCCACTGGGGCAAGGGTCTCCTCATAGTTAAAACCGTACTGTTAGGAATACCCTTTCGCTACAAGTCTGACCTTGTACCGCTCAACAGACCCATCAACTTTTGTTTTATATCTTCTACATCCAACGACAAGCTATCGTATGTTTCCCAGGTATAAAGGAAAAGAAATCCCATGTATAAGTCTGATGAAGAGCAGTGATTTCCTCAGCAATAGCATTATGCCAAAGAGGATTGAAAACAACTTATTTGTATGATTCAAGTTCATATAGATGATGGATGCTCACTATAAATTAAGCAAATGGTACTGGGTATGTAGAGTAAGCAAAATTTGGAAGCTTGGTGGACTTGATAGGACGAGTAGACCTCCTGAGGGGTGGTGATGGAGGTGGATCTTCAATTTCAACAATCAAAGGGGTAGACTCAAGAGCAGGATGAGTCGATGAAATCTCTGAAGAAGTGGGTGTGTCATGAGCTGAAGGATCAGATGTCATATCTGTGTCTCAAGTCTCTATCTCCTCATTGAAAGGATCAATATGCAGAAAATCTGACTTCGTTACATTGTGGGCTGTAGCAGGAATCAAATAGAAAGGAATATGTTCAAAAAAAGTGACATGTCGGGAAACATATAACTCTGTCTCACATGATCATAACAATGGTATCCTTTTTGTCCAACACCATACCCAAAAAATACTCAAATAGCATATTTCGGCCCCAACTTGTTCCTCTCAACATGAGGACGAAGAACAAAACAAGTGCATCCAAAAACTCGTAAAAAAGAGTAGTCTGGTATGGTGACCATATAGCTTCTCAAAAGGAGACATTCATGAATTCAATGAAGTAGGGATACAATTAATCACATAAAAAGTGGTTAGGACTGATTTTCCCCAAAAGGCATTATGGACCTGCGTAGACAGGAGCAATGAGCGGGTTGTCTCAACAATATGACGGTGTATCGTTCTGCCACACTGTTTTGTTGAGGAGTGACAGTACACGTTGACTGGTGTATGGTACCATCAGAAGCAAGTAACTGAGTAAAATCAATAGAGGTATATTCACCCCTTAAGTCACACCTAAAGCACTTGATTACAGCCGAATGCTAAGTTTTAACAAGAGCTCTAAAATTGTTGTGAATGCCAAGGAAATCATATATGTGTTTCATATATTGTAATTATCCTTGATTCCTTAATATTTGAAAACTTATAGACCAGCTTCGTGAATGAGGCCTACTAACGGTAAGACTGACTTTTACTCATACATACATACATATATATATATATATATATATATATATATATATATATATATATATATATATATAATGTTAGACTTTTAATGTTATATATAATATAGGGTGTATTTTACACTTTTAAAATACTAGGTGGTCAAATTTAACGATTATACTTTTAATTCAATTAAATGTAAACCAAAACTTTTATGGATTTATTAAACCTCTTTTAATTATACGCCTTAATTAATTAACAAAACCATAAGGGTGTGATATGAACTTTTCAAAACAATACTAGGGTTTTAGAATTTAACATTCCTAGATTAAACTTTTAATCAACTTTTAAATTCCAAAACTTGAGGACAAGTTTTGAAACATTTCAAAACATTTGGGTTTAGAATTTAAATATACATCAAAATTAAACTTTTAATCAAAATTTAAATTCCAAAACTTGAGGGCAAGTTTTGAAACCTTTTCAAAACATTAGGGTTTCAACTATTTAAATTTCAAAACTAAACTTTGAGTTCAAATTTAAACTATAAAACCTAAAGGGGAAAATTGAAACTTTTCATAACACAAGGATCAAATAACAAATAATATAAATTAAACAATTAATTTCATCATTATCTATATTTGACCTAATTTCAATTTCTTGCAAAATAAGTTACCCAATTAATACAAATAATCCAATCTTTATCATATAAGGAAGTTATTATCTAATCAATTGGTAATTATCTTGTGTTTTGGCAAGGATATTCTTTAAGAAATAATAAAATTCGTATTTTATAGGTTTAAAACGAATATGGTAATTATCCTTAAG